GTGTCTTTAGCACGGAGAGGAACCCAAAACAAGTGCAGTATCTCTGCTTTGTCATCATTGGCAATACACTGGCTCAATCTTCCTCCTCAGTCCTCATTACACAAATCTTGTATTTGTAAAGTACTTGAAACCTTTTGTTATAGAACTTTATCTGAACTCAAGGCTTTACGGTTATTAATAATTATCCTAATCTGCTCTAAAATAGTCTGTGGTAGCAAGCAAAGATGCGATATCCCAAAGAGGAATTACCTGCCTCAAGGTGGTGGTGCAAAGTCTAACTGAATTAATTAATGTTTGTAAAACATTTAGCAACCCTTAAATTAACAGGTCTAATACAAAGATCCAGGGACTCCCCATTAATTACAGAAGAAAAGAGCAGGCTGACGCCGTCTCTGCTTCTCAGAGGACTTCCTCTCAAATATCCCCGTTCAGCACCGGGTCTGTTCTCCTCCCAGTGCCTTGGGGCGGCCTGTTGTTTCACTTTCAGAAGAGCCCTCTTGGCTTTCGGTTATTTCCAAAAATAAGAAATTAAAAGCTCCTCTCTGGAGGTAAGGCAGCTCACCTTCTGTGAAGCTTACCTCAGTTGACAGCTGTTATAACAATTCCAGGTCATTAAGGACAACCTATACAAACAAAATCCAAAAGAGAGAGTCCCCAGGCAGAAGCTTCATGTCAGTGTACTTAATTTTGAGAACTTTTAACTCCAAAATTTGAATATACAAAACAATACAAGTTAGGGGGCGATTATTAACAATCAGAGACTATTAGAATTAGACTGGGCCTTAGAAATTACTAAGTTACCCTCATTGTTTCTCAAGTGAGAAAAAAGTTACCAGATGACTGTGTAATGATTTGTCCAAGATCACAATATGTGAAAGCTAAAATTCTCAAGTCTTATATATGATATACTTCACACAACATCATATTACTACTCACTTTTTTTTTTTTTTTTAAAGACAGGGTCTCACTCTGTCACCCAGGCTGGAGAGCAGAGGTGCAATCATGGCTCACTACAGCCTCAACCTTGTAGGCCCAAAGGATCCTGCCAGCTCAGCCTCTCAAGTAGTTGGGACTATAGACAGGAGCCACCATGCCAAACTAATTTTTGTTTTTGTTTTCTGTAAAGACAAAAAACATGTTGCCCAGGTTGGTCTTGAACCCTGAGCAAAAGCCATCCACCCACCTCTGTCTCCCAAAGTGCTGGGATGACAGGTGTCAGCCACCATGCCCGGCTGCTACTCACTTTTTGTAAAGGGATTAGAATAGGATACTTTGACACAGTATCTCTAGAATATTTAAGAGGAACTTTTTTGCTAAGTATAGATTTAAATAGAACTTTTCCAGAACCCACCAATTGTGTAAAGCCATGGCCATGTCACTGAATTGTAGAGCATATCCCATTACTGAGGTACGATCCAGAGGGCTTAGGACATAGCATTGGGCCCACCCACCGGGGTGAAAATCTGTGCTTGGGGAGATGATGATATTATATTGCAGGTACTTCCAAAGGAAATTTAATCTACCAGGCAATTGAAGCTCATAGCAATTTTTGCTCACAGCTCAGGGGAACAGTTGGCCAAGAGGGAAGGAGAGAAAGGCCGTAAGACAGAAGCAGAAATGTTCCCAACAAGCAGTTAGAGTCCAGCAATGGGGCAGGTGATACTTGGAAATCCGGACAGGAAGCTGGCTCCATGGGGTCTGTCCTCTAGTGGCTAAGCTCCAGTCAGAAACCTCGGGCCTGAGGCGGTGTTCCAATTCCGGGTGGGAGCCTGGCCTGGGAAAGGCTTCTTTACTCCTAGAAAAATCTGGGGCTCAAGGCAGGCTGCCAGGCAGGAACTTGGGAACAGTAGTACCCACAGGGGACCTCAGGCTTAGGAATGAGGCAAGAGCCCAATGAACAGAATGAGGGCACTGTCTCTGGGCAGACTAACCAAGAGTGTGGCTGGGTGCTGAGCTGCAGAGAGCAAGGCTGGGCTGGATTCCGTGCCCCTGCCATGGGCCTGGGATGACCCAGGAACTGGGCTGAGGCCCCTGGGGAAAATCAAGAACAGGTTCCTGCTGGGGATGAAGGAAGTGGCAAGGCTGGGGCTCCACTGGGCCTCTCTGTTTGCCATTCTTCCAAAAGTCCACATTAGGATTATTTACGCTGGTTACCTCTTTCATCAGCAAGTAAGATGCTCCACAAAAGCGGGGAGACTCTCAAGTGGATAAATCAGTGTTATTTTGAGAGGGGGGCGAAACTGAAATTATTGACAAAAGAAGTTCAGAGCTCTTACTTGTGTATTGTACATGTCGTTCAATGTGCTAAGCAAATTGGTAATGGGGAATGTTATTTACTAATGGAAAAAAGAAAGTAGTAAGATAGAACTAACGCACCTCCTAGTACTCAGACCCTCTTCCAATTCGTGTGGCATCAGAAGGGATCTCTGAGGTTTCTTAGCTCTCCCGCAATCCATCAACCCTGCCAAAGCACTTCAAATAAACAATCTAAATAAAACTGTGCTTACCATGCAAATGTAACCTTAAGCTCCCCAGCTTCCAATCTAATCTCTGTCCCGATGGAGGTCTTTAGGGGCTGTCACTGTCTTTTCACATCCCTCTTTTTTGCATACCCCTATGAAACACGCAACCGGACTACCTATGTCTACCATGGGAACATCACTGTACTTCTCCCTTCGCTGGAAATGGAGTCCAATCCTCTCCTCCTTTCATCCAGCCTTTCTCTGGCACCAGGGTACTTTGCTGTTGGCTAGCTGCATGCTTTGTTGGTTGCTCTGTTTTTTCACATCTCATTGACCCTAGAGTATGTGGCAGAGAATAGCAGTAGTTCCTCACCAGTGGTGTGTATCAGTCACCCCGGAAGCTCTCCTGGACCCCACATACTCTGGTCCCGACCCACACCTACCAAACCTGAATCCCTGGGGTAGAAACAAACAAACAAACAAACAAACAAAACACCCTGCATTTTGATGAGTATTGGTTATGTTGTACTTATACTACTTTAAAATAAAAAGGAAAATAAAAGAATAAAGTAGATCTACTGTTATAGGAAGATGTCCGTGATATATTAACTGCAAGTTGTTATAGAATGCTATCATTACATGATTAAATGTATTATATTATTAAATGCATTCATCAGGCATTTTTGTAAAAATGGGAAATATCTGTGTGTGTGATGTAATATACAGGTGGATATTTAAACAAAAGAGTCTATAGACTAGGGATTTTAGCCACTGTTTCCTGTTCTCCTTGCCATTTACCTCGCAAGCCCTAGATACAGTGAAACCAATTTCAAATATAGAATCACACCAGTTGGCCGGGCGCAGTGGCTCACACCTGTAATTCCAGCACTCTGGGAGGCCAAGGTGGCAGATCACGAGGTCAGGAGTTCGAGACCATCCTGGCTAACACGGTGAAACCCCATCTCTCCTAAAAATACAAAAAATTAGCCGGGTGTGGTGGTGGGCACCCATAGTCCCAGCTACTCAGGAGGCTGAGGCAGGAGAATCACTTGAACCTGCAAGGCAGAGGTAGCAGTGAGCCAAGATGGTGCCACTGCACTCCAGCCTGGTGACAGAGTGAGACTCCATCTCAAACAAAAATAATAATAAAAATTAAAAAATCATAGTGGTTATATTATGGCTCGATCATTGGATAGCCATGAAAAATTTGGCAAGTTGCTAAATTACCCTAAGCTTCAATGTTTTCATCTTTGAAATGAGATACAATCCCATTACTCCATGACACGGTATTATTGGAAGAACAAATAAGATTGTATACATGCCCAGTCTCGTGTCAGACAAATTATAAGACATTTTTTAGGGAAAAAATAGTATTGGAAGTTGAATGGTACTTGAGAATTTTTTTCTTCCCAAAAAAATATGAAATGGGGAAAAACACAATCGAGCAGTTTTATATTAATCTTTCTTATTTAAGAACAGGAAAGATTATACCTGGTTTCCCGGAGGATTGCTTGAGGAGTGTCAGCCCATCAGGACAAGGGAATGCAGAGAAGGCCTGGCTAACCCACAGACCTCACCAGCATGGTCTACCTGCCAAAATGAGAGAAAATGAGAGCCAGAAACTCAGGGACCCAATTCTCCCCTCCTAGACCTAGTATCCTTATATTAAACTGCTACTTCCAGTGTTAAGAACTCCACAGAAACCAAAGTACCCACAAATAATAAGAACTGTTTGCCTAAGAGTAAATGATCACCACACATTGATTTCATCCACTTTAGCCAGGTGAGGTGGCACACGGCTGTAATCCTGGCTACTCACGAAGCTGAACTGAAAGAATTGCTTGAGCTTGGAAGGTCGAGGCTGCAGTGTGCTGTGATTGTGTAATTGCGCCACTGCACTCGAGCCTGGGCGATAGACCGAGACTATCTCAAAAAAAAAGTTTGCTTTGTAACCCACAGAATATATGCCTAAAATGTTGTTTTCTTATTTTATTTTATTTATTTATTTTTTTGACACGGAGTCTCACTCTGTCGCCCAGGCTGGAGTGCAGTGGCACGATCTCGGCTCACTGCAAGCTCCACTTCCCGGGTTCATGCCATTCTCCTGCCTCTGCCTCCCGAGTAGCTGGGACTACAGGAGCCCGCCACCGCGCCCGGCTAATTTTTTTGTATTTTTAGTAGAGACGAGGTTTCACCGTGTTCGCCAGGATAGTCTCGATCTCCTGACCTCGTGATCTGCCCGCCTCAGCCTCCCAAAGTGCTGGGATTACAGGAAGTGAGCCACCGTGCCTGGCCCTTATTTTATTTTTTTAAGATCATTTATAAACTATTTCTTGTTAGGAAAAATATTTATTTCTTAATTATTTATTATAATTATTATTATATTTATTTCTTAATTATTTATCATCTGAACAATGTATGACATGCTAATATCAAAGAGCACTGGAAGGAGATTTACAACCAACCTCTGGCAACCTTACTGTCTAACTTGGGGTAACCCCTGCTGTTCAAATGAGAGAAAATGAGAGCCAGAAAAGTTACCTTCTACTACTTCTAAGTTAGCATTAGAAGTTGAACAGTACTTGAGAAATTTTTTCTTCCCTAAAAAATATAAAATGGAGAAAAACACAATTAAACAGCATTATATTCATCTTTCTTATTTTTAGAATAAGAAAGATTATGCCTGGTTTACTGAAGGATTGCTTGAAGAGTATCAGTCTATCAGAACAATAGCATTCAGAAAAGGCCTGGCTAACCCAGAGGCCTTGCCACCCTCGTCTACCTGCCTAGTTGGGCCTTGCTGGAAGCACTTGTGGCTGCCACCTACAGGCCTGCTTCCAGCCTATACGCCTTGTGGCAAAAGCTGCATGGCATTTGGCAGACTGGAAAATCATGCAAATATTCATGATCTGGCCAAAATCCCTAAATGAGGGTGAGCAAGCTGTTAAGAGAAATTCAACTGTATCCTATTAAATGCATTTGCAGGAACTTATGAAGATGTTTATCTCAAGGAACAGGAGATTTGGGAAGTACAGGTTGGTCATCATGAAATATCTGACAGTTTATAGTGTAAGGTGGGATTGACACTAATCTAGTGATTCCAGGGTAAGAACTAGGGTTAACAAGTGGAAACTGCTGCCTAGTAATTAAGAGTAAAGGCTGCAGTCATCTTGGCTGTGGTGATGGTTTCACAGATACACCATGACGTATTTTATACTTTGGATATGTGCAGTGTATTTTATTTCAACTTCAGTAAAGTAGAAAAGAGTATAAGCTATAATGTCAGATAGTTTGGGCTCTATTGCTTAGCCACTTACTATCAGTGTGATCTAGAACAGAGATCCCCAACCCTTGGGCTGTGGACAGGTATTGCAGGAGGTGAGTGCAAGTGAGCCAGCAAAGCTTCATCTGTATTTATAAGCCACTCCCCATCACTCACATTACCCCCTGAGCTCCACCACCTGTCAGAGCAGCAGCAGCATTAGATTCTCATAGGAGTGTGAGCCCTATTGTGAACTACACATGAGAAGGATCTAGTTGCATGTTCCTTATGAGACTCTAATGCCTGATGATCTGTCGCTGTTTTCCGTCACTTCCAGATGGCACCGTCTGGTTACAGGTAAACAAGCTCAGGGCTCCCACTGATTCTACATTCTGTTGAGTTGTAGAATTATTTCCTTATATATTACAATGTAATCATAAGAGAAATAAAGTGCACAATAAATGTAATGAGTTTGAATCATCCTGAAACCACCACCTCCCTCCCCAACAGTACATGAAAAATGTGTCTTCCATGAAACTTGTTCCTTGTACCAAAAGGGTTGACGACTGCTGATCTAGAACACATTCTTCAACCTCTAATACATCTCCTGGAGTCAATATGAAGTTAGGTGAGATAATGCATATAAAGTGCTTAGCATGGAATCAACATGTGGCAATCATTTACTGTTAGGCAAACAATTACTGTTATTTTGAGGTACTTTTTCGTTGGCATTCTTAAAATCGGAAGGAGTAGTTTAATATACGGCTACTGGGCATAGAAGGGGAGAATTGGGGCCCTGAATTTCTGGACCCTTTGAAAGGACATCAAAGAGCACTGGAAGGAGAGAGATTCACAGCCAACCTCTGGCAACCTCACTCTCTAACTTGGGGCAACCCCTGCTGCTCAATTAAGAGAAAATGAGAGCCAGGTAATCTTGGCATTAGAAGGAGCTTTTTGAGACTGGCTGGTCTTACTTCCACCCAGTGGTCCCAGTCTAGCCATGAGATGTTCCTGCTTTCCTCATGTCCCTGCTCTCAGTCCCTCTGCAGAGAGCTCCTTCCCCAGTCAGCACTCTGCTGGCATCTGACAGCCAGGGGGCTTGCATACCAAACACTATTAAGTAGTTAAGTGTTTAAAAACAGGTTGTGAGAAACACATTCATTTCCTGTTTCTTGCTGCCTTACTATGTGATGTTGAACAAGTCATTCCACTGCTCTGAGCCTCAGCTGACTAATCTGTATAATGGGACTGATATTACTGTCCTACTCTTGTGATATTGTAAAGTGCTTGTTTCTGCTCAGCACAGAGTTAAGTGCTCCATTAATGCCAGGTCATGAGATTATCATGCACATCATGAGAGGTAGTAGGTAAAATTGGTAGATATAGAATGCAGTGCCCAAGTCCTCAACTCACGAACCTGTGCAGCTACTGACAGGAGAAGGCCAAAGGGCTTTCTTTCTCCCTAGATAATTCAGGTACATTTTAGACAATGGTTCTCCAGCGCTAATGTACCTGCCTTTGTTCTCCTAACCTACTGGGTTTGCTACCTCCCGAAATTCCACTTTCCCTTATTGAATTTAATACCTCAGTAATTATCCTTAAATTTGGATCTCCAGGTTTTTCTTTGCTTTGATCTTTTTAGCCCCATGATAGAACGGATGGTCTCCAGCTTATACCTTCCTCAGATGCGAGCATTTCATATGTCCAAGCAGCAGCTGGCCTGCCTCCTACTCAGTGTACCAGTGACCTATAGGCCCTATATTCTGCCTTCAAGAATCTGTGACTGCTCCTGGGTACGCAGCCTGGAACCTTCTTTGCTGGGGCCTCTCAACCCCTGGAACATGTTAGGCATCACAAGAGCCTGGCACCACTTTCCCTCTCTCCCTAAAACATCACACACATACGCAAACACAAACTCACACACACACTATTGGAGCATGAGCCCTGGTCACACTTCCATTAGATCCAATGGTAACAGTTGCCTCATCATTCCTTTCCACTACATTCTTCACCCCTTTCACTTACTTCGGAAGGTCTGTTGCTAATATCTTCAGTCCTTTTGGTCAAGGCCCTGTCTCTGACCCCAAATGTCACTCACAAAGCCTAATGTTGTGGTTAACAATATTTGCAATTACTACTAAAATATTTGATGGCACACATATGTTAAAAATGAAAAGAAGTTTTCTGGAAGATTATTTGTTAATATTTATCAAAGAGGTTATCTGTATAATAATCATACCTAACATGAATGTTTGCCATGTACCAAACACTGTTGTTAACTCTTATTTTCCTATCTTCAACTCTAGAAAACAGAGACTTGCGTTACTACCACTTTATCCCACTTTTGGAATTCTCATAAGTTAATCATCTCAGATTCATTCAAATTGTATGTATACAAAAATGTATCACAGCATGGTTCAAATTGAGTTATATCCATATAATGGAATATTATGCAACCATTAAATATCAGAACATTCAGGAATGTTTAATATTTTGAAAAGGATAATTAAATATTAAATAAAAACAATATATGCATATTTTTATACAACATGAGCCCGATATTATCCATGGGCACATAAACCAAAAAAGAAAACAAACAGAGAGAGATGTGACAAAATCCTGACAGTGAATATCTCTGAGGGAGAATTCCTTGCTTTATTCCCTTGTCTCTGTCATTCAATTTTCCACAATAAACATGCTTTAGTGTTATCATCAGAAAAGGTAAATGTATTAAAAATATATTTTGCTATAGCACAATGTAGTTAAGTTTCGCTTAATTTCTGCTGGAGCCCAAGTGTCCTGCTCGTCCTCGGGAGCTTCACAGTCTCTCCGATGCAGTCCACGGATATGAATTAACATTATTTCCAAAGAAGAGGACCCAGAAATGTAAGGAAGTTTAAATTTACTCCAATGTACAGAAAATATCCAAATAAAGCAACCTATGGTCACTTAGTGCCAAGAAATGAATCCTCATTAAGGACCCACCAAACTTCCTGCACTGCCCTTAGAAATGGAAATTTAGCTACCATGTGTTAGGTTTTCTCTTTTCCACCAGGATGTTTTCTTCTTCCAGGATTTTTTATCTCAGCGATATCCTTGGTTTCTTTCCTCCCCACCAGCCCTTGTCTCTCCCAAATCTAGTCGGTCCTGGTTCTGTTTAAATCCTGCCTGGAGGTGCCTCCAAACAGACTCCCCTTCTGACCTGTGAGCCAGAACAGAACTGCATGTTTGTGCCTTTGGTAAAACTGGGCCACCTGAAGCACCACCACTTTCTTTCTTTTCTTTTTTTTTTTTTTTAGATGGAGTTTCACTCTTGTTGCCCAGACTGGAGTGCAATGGCGCAATCTCAGCTCACTGCAACCTCCATCTCCCGTGTTCAAGCAATTCTCCTGCCTCAGCCTCCCAAGAAGCTGGGATTACAGGTATGAGCCACCACACCCGGCTAATTTTTTGTATTTTTAGTAGAGACAGGGTTTCACCATGTTGGCCAGGCTGGTCTTGAACTCCTGACCTCAGGTGATCTGCCTGCCTCGGCCTCCCAAAGTGCTGGGATTACAGGCATGAGCCACCACGCCCAACCCAAGCACCACCACTTTCTTTTAACTACCAAAGAACTTTGGCAAACAGTTGATTCCAGGAAAAAAGCTGTTTCTTTCTCTAGGGGGAAAATGTAACAAATGCAAAATCTTTCATCTAACTGCAGTAAAAAATAGACACTTCTCTTCCATTTTAGTCATTATTTCTAGACATATTGAAAGGAGTATGGATGTCTAGTCTCCCATAATCTGGACCTAAAGCCAGGCTCTAGAATGGGTTAGGAGAGCATGTGCAAGACTGTGAAGGTTGTTCATCTACAAAATAGGGCTAATAACTTTGAGGGCTGTTGAAAGAATAAAAATTGTACATAAATGATAACATAAGTATACATAAACCTAGCACTCAGATCTTTGTTTCTAATGCCATTCTCCAATAAAAGGAACCAAAGCTCCTTGGAAAAATGGCTGAATCTAGGACTGAGGACACAAATATACAAGATGAGCCTCTTGTAGTGCCAGAACATACAAAAGTGCTTAAAAAATTAATGAGGATGGGTCAAATGGGTACAGGAGAAATGAAGGAGCTCCCAATGGCCAAAGTTGGAACTATCTGAACAACAAAAAAAATCAGTACTGTTTTATAACCCAAAGTATAAATAAATATTTGTGAACCCACACTGATATAAATAAGTTATAGAATAAATAAACAAATGAGCGAGAAGAGAGAAATCTCTCATGCAGAAGAATTCAAACAATTTATGTAGATACTACACGCTTGCTAATTATAGGCTATTCATAGGGAT